CCAGGAGGGACTACAGGGCACCCGGGCCTCCTACATACAACATTTTAGGAAAGAGGATGCATATAAATTGGGGATCTGAACATTGAGGCCCTTATAATTGTCTGTGCCCAAAGGCTCCTCACAAGTTTAAGGAACTTGGCTATAGGGAGGGGCTGTGCTCTGCGCCTCACCTCTGTGGTTTCAGCCTCTCCGTTAAATGGGGACTAAACAAGTACTTTGAAATACCGAGTGGGGCGCCAAATTCAGGTTGGTCTGCCCTCTGCCTTGGTCTCACCCTGACCTCACCTGAGGACAAATCCCACTTTGCCTCACATCGCCTCTAGATTTCCACATTCGATTCATGCCCTCAAACTTCGTGTGTAAAATACATATTATATGAAAATAAATTTTATTCCAAAAATTTCACCTGATGCTTATATTTATTTTCTAAAGGAAAAAAAAAAACAAAACCAAAGCATATGAATGTTTGTAAAAAGAACAAGGAAGGAGGAGGAAGAGTGTGTGAAGGATGCGCTCAGGTATGTCTGAAAATGGCATTAGGGAATTTAAGGAATTATTCAAACCACCAACATGAGGGAGGACTTTATTCCTCATTTACTTACATGAGTGTTTTAAATGCAGAAAGCAAACAGATAACAAACGGCAAATCACCCCCCTCCCAAAGAATTCCTGTTGCCCTTAAACAAGTAGTACATGGTCAGAAAATTCAAGCTGTATATTTAAAGAGCTATGTTAATTTTTTTTTTTAAAAGATTTTATTTATTTGAGAGAGAGAGAGCATAGCAGGGGTAGGGGAAGAGGGAGAAGGAGAAGCAGACTCCCCACTGAGCAGGGAGCCCAACGCAGGGCTCGATCCCAGGACCCTGGGATCATGACCTGAGCCGAAGGCAGACGCTTAACCAACTGAGCCACCCAGGTGCCCTGAGATATCTTAATTTTTCCTCAAAGGCAGCTAGTGTACTGGGTTTCCCAGAAGCCCTTCTAGGAAAAATGCATGTGTTTGCATTTGCCCATTTCTCATCCCTTCCTTCCCTTCTTCAAAATTTAACTCAAACTTGTTCTGTATCTTGTTTACTCCACTTGCTAAAACAGCAAATACACACTCATGCGTGCATGTGCACGCACATGCACACTACACACACCCCAGCACAAAGAGACCTCTTTAAAAAAGCGGGTTCACCGAACGTTCTCATGTGGAACCATTATCATACTATAATTGTTTTAAACTGTCATGATCCCGGGGTCATAAAACATTTTATTTTTATTTATAAAAATAAACTACTGAGTTTAGTTGTGTCTGGGTTCTTGCTAATAGAAATGCTTCGACAATGGTATTTTGGTCCACTTTGCAGTTATAACTGTTACCCTAGCAAGAGTCATTTGGTTGGAGGGTCATCTAAATTTTGATTCAATTACATTCTAGAAAGGCTGAGCCAATTTACACTTCTGTCAAGTACAGAGAAGTGTCCATTTCCCCACACGGGGCGAGAACAGGTCATCAACCAGCATTTGCCAACAGTGAGTAAAATGTGTTTCACTGTTGCTTGAACTTAAGTTTCTTTAATTGTGAGTGAGGTTGAGCACCTCTTCCTATGTTATGCTTTGATTACTGGGTTGTCTTTTAATGGATTTATCAAAATGCTGCTTGAATTAAAGATATTAACCATTTCTCAAAAGTTGCTAGTATTTCCCCAGTTTGTCCAGTTTAATTTTTGAGGTTTTTGTCATCTAGAAGCTTTAAATTGCCATACTTTTTATATCTCTTACCTGTCTGAATATTGCAGGAGGGTGGTGGCAAGAGGTATGTAAGGTATGAGGTAAAATAAAGTGTAATAATTTTCCTAACCAATTGTTTGTCATCAGACAATCCTTCTTTTTCTCCACTACCACAGAATGTTAATTTTACCATAAACTAAAGTCCCGGTTTTATTTGGGTCCATTTACAGGCTCTCTGCTCTATTCCACTGATCTATTTCTTCCCTAATTCAAAATGGATTTATTTATTTTTTTTTCTTTAAAGATTTTATTTATTTATTTGACAGAAAGAGAGACAGTGAGAGAGGGAACACAAGCAGGGGGAGTGGGAGAGGGAGAAGCAAGCTTCCCGCCGAGCAGGGAGCCCAATGCAGGGCTCAATCCCAGGACCCCGGGATCATGACCTGAGCCGAAGGCAGACACTTAACAACTGAGCCACGCAGGCGCCCCTCAAAATGGATTTAATTACTCTAACTACTGTATTATTCAGAATACATTTTAATATCTGGCAGAGCTAAAGTTCTCATTTCTCTTCTTTTTCAGAAATCTCCTTGCTATTCTCAAATGCTTATTTCTATATATTTGAATTGGCATCACATTTTCACAAGACTGGATCTTTCAGTCCCAGCAGAGTTTTAAAAATACTCTTCATATAGATTATCCATATTGTTTTTATAAATTACTAAAGGTTTTCTATTTTGGCTTCTTTGGTAAATGGGAACTTTTCTTCAATAATATTTTCAAATGGCTATTATGTCTTATGAAAGGAATAAATAATTTTAGATAAGCCTTGTAACCTACCTCCTTACCAGGTTTTCCTATTGTGTCCAATAACATATCTTGTGATTTTTAGATTTAATAACCTTCTAATCTCAATGACTGACACATTTGCCTCCTGCAGGTTACCTGACCTTCTCACTTCTTCCTCCTGTAGAGGTGCATTGGTCAGCAGCCCCAGCAGCACGGGAAGTACCAGTGGTGGTAATGGGTTGCCTGACACTGCTGTGAGTGCTTCTGGTGGCTACTGTGGAGCATGATGCTTGTGCTTTGATTTAAGATACAAACACACTGGCTAGGTGAACTTGCCCCACACCTCGGAAACCGAAATGCAGTCATCTAGCTTTCTCCCCCGCTGCGCCCTGCTGGTGGACCCACACTTCTCCTTCTTCTCTGTACTCTTATCACAAGTCTTATCCTGGGGACACCCTGACTAATCAGGGGCACATTCTGCTCCAGTGTGGGGCCTCCCATCTCGTGCACTATCCTGGAGCCCTTGCTTCTATCAGAGGGTCAGCTTGTCGGGGGGTGGGAGGATCCTCCTTGCAATTATTTTCCTCCCAGCTCCCCAAACATCAAAGCAAATATTCCTGTACAAGGTGGTTTTGAAGCCTAATGGACTGTGAGGGTCAGAACCCGGTCCTGGACCCACAGCTTGTCCCCTCAGATGATAACTGCCTTACTAATTTTCTCATTGGTTTAATTCTTATCTATCTCTCACGAGACAGAACTAGCTCTGGGCATGGAGGAGTCTTTGTCTTCCTGCTCACACTCTGCTACAAGTAGAAAGTCAAAATGAAGACCTCCAGCATTGCCTCTAGTATAGTGCGAAAATCCCTGGAAAGAAGTTTCTACTTTCATGGCATTTTTGCTGCTTTTGCCCACACTTTCTCATTCTCCCTCATTCTCTGCAAGATATTATGTAAGATTCTATTTGCTCACTTCTCCTTGCTTAATGTTTCTGTAGAAGGCAGGCTTAGAAACCGTTGGGGCTGCTCCAGGATGATTCTTGGAAATCCAGGTCTTGTTCTTCTGCTGACTGTTAACTCCACTCTTTAACATTGCTCAAATATTTTTGTTTTGCTTAGTTTAGTTTTTTCAGTCTATTCGTTGCTCATATTATTAGGATTTTGGTTTTGTTATGCCATCCTAAAATGACTCTTCTATATTTATTTACGCTAGAAACTTCAAGGCTGAAGAAAATACTCAGAGTGAGTTCTCTAAATTACGGCCCCTGGAAATTGCTAAAGACATAACACCGATTTTCAGGACAGTTGCTCTTACCTGCTGCTTGAGTGCCTCCAAAGACTCAAACTCCAATCTGGCCAGTTTCATCTGGATATGCTGTGGTTTATCAGGTATGGCAAATGCAAGTATAAACTTTAAAGCCAGGAGTGCATGCTAAAAACAAGAAAGAGTACATGTTGATGTGCCACATTAGGCCACATGTGCAATGAGACAAAACGGAACCTAAGCAATCTGTGATTCTTTTTGTTAGTCTTGGGTAATTTCTAATGACTAGCCTGTCATGTATCAGAGAACAACCAGGCCCAAGAGTTCTATTTAACCCACCCCACTGTGGCCCACTCAATAACTATTGTCTTATTTGCTTTGTTCTTCTAAAATTAGTTTATTTCCTTAAATTGATACCATACATTATTTTCAGTGTTTTATAGAAAAATGAAATTTATTCTGAAAAATCTTTCACAAAATGTTTTTTTTCCTGTGTCTATTTTCCCAGTGTATATATTAGCACACAACCCTGGCAGACTCACTCTTTTTTCTTTTTCTTTTTTTTTATACACACAGAGAGAGAGTGCACAAGTTGGGGGAAGGGACAGAGCAAGAGGGAGAAGCTGACTCCCTGCCGAGCAGGGAGATTGGACGTAGGGCTCGATTCCAGGACCCTGGGATCATGCCCCAAGCTGAAGGCAGACGCTTAACCAACTGAGCCACCCAGGTGCCCTAGACTCACTCTATTCTTTGCCCAATAACATCTTCCCTGTGCTATGCTTCAGGCTGAGTTATGTGAAACATACAGCGCCTTAAACACCAGGTGCCTTGAATCCTCTGCACCCCTACAAGTATCTGGTACAGTTTCTTTCATGAAATGATAATCAATAAATATTGATGAATTGATTGGTTGTAATGTACTACCTTATACTGCTAATTCCATATACTGTAGGGCAGGTACACAGAAATGTAGAGTGTATCCATTATAACAAGGGAAGCTTAGAACCCTTCTACACCAAACTTATACAAAGTTTATCTATACCATAATGATATGAGGTTTATAATTATGCTTTTTTCTCTGCAGAACAGAATAAGCCAACAGGATTGTTTCCATTGGTAAGCCTGTTCTTCAGATGCATGGCCTCAACCTACTGATGCTTCTGCAATTCTAGCATCATCTTGTGATCCAGGATTAACACCCACGGAAGTCTGAACAATGAAAAGAATATAGTTGCCTCTTTGATAACAGCATGAATTACTAAACATTAAAAGCTGTGAAATGATTTTTAAAGGTAAGAAATGATTAAAAGGCATTTTGAAAATCAGCAAAGGAAATGGAACAGCCTCTAAGAAATGTTGCACTGAATTACTGACAGAAAAAGAGGACAGCTTAAAAAAATTAAACAAGCCCCTTACTGTGATATTTTCAAAAGGAGGATGAAGGACGAATACCATGTGGCTATCTCCTAGGAGAGGCATGAAATAATGAAGGAAATCAGCATCATGCCAGAACAAGCAGTAATTCAATCCAGAGACCTGGAAATGGGCAGAGCCCCAGGCCAGGCCAAGCCCCCCTGGTATTAACAAGAGATGTGGAGTGGGCCAGGGCCAGGCAGTCTTCCCCGAAGTGTGACTGCTGGGACCAAAGAGGACACCTGCAAGGTACTGATTAAGTATCTACAGTGTGAAAACTAATAGATAACACAGCACGGATCAGGTGACATCATCTGTTGTAAGTCTGAAGTAACTGAATTAAATTAACAGGAACCTGGATAAAATCTACAAAGAACAAATAAATAATTCAAAAAAGGTATACTGTGTCATCATTTCATTCCATTGGAGTACTGACACATAATTTTATATAAGACTTAACCTCTTCAGTAGAAATACTAGACAAGAAATAAACAAATGAGCAGATGAAAAGAAATCTTCCAAGTTTTCCAGAAATGGGGTGTCCTCAAACTGCCAGAACCCCACCATGAGCCAGTCACTGGCCTCTTTCCATCTCTCCTAACAAATCTGTACCCATTTTCTCTTCTTTGGAGTCTTGGAGGGAACCAGTGAGAAAAAAGACCCTGCCAAGGTCTTCCCTTGGAAACAAGGTGCCTGTAAGATGTGTCAAATCTCCTTTGGGAACCAGGACTGGTTACTGGGCAACCGAGCAACTCTGCCACAGACCTCAGTGCTCATAGATGCCATACAAAATGTCCATAACCCTCATGAATTAAAAATGTTGGCATTTATTAGACAATATGTTAACACAGGAAGTCATTTTAACATGGTTAAAACACATAGCAGTGAGTTTTTATGAGTAGCTCTATAGTTTGCTTTCCTAAAATTATTTTATACTAAATGCTTTTAAAGGCCCACATGTAGAGAGATCAATTTCTTTTGAACTATATAGGTTCCTAACAGACCTGCTTATTCTCAGCTTTTAACTTCCCACTGAACACCTCCAGGGTTATGCTCCTTGAAGAGTTCCACGCTAAGCACACAGCTGAATACTCCTTAGCTGGAGGAAAAAGCCAGAGGGAAGTAGTGCTGTGTCCATCCCTTCACGTTTATTAGTGACTAGTGTGCTAGACATGGGTCATGTGTTGGAGGATTCTACAGTGAAAGAGATGATAGCCCCGGCACATGGTCTAGAGGAGGAGATCAGTAATTATGGGCCATCCCCAAATGCCATGCGTGAGTGGTCCTGCCCAGTATACATGGGACAAGGAGCCTACAGATTGGCAGTTACCCCAGTTTTTAGCAGTTTGGAGAGGGCTTCCTGAGCAGAGACATACGGGATGAGGAGTTGGCTAGGAAAGGGGAGGAGTGTTCCCAGAGAGAACAAACACACAAAGGGATGGTGGGGTTGAGGAGAGAGGGGCCATGGAGGCACCCAGGAATTGGATGATACAGGAGCTGAGTGAGGTGTGAAGAGGCACTGAAGGTGCCAACACGGGAACGATGGGCTCAGATGTCTCCATTCACGGCACGGAGAGTGGACAAGAGTGGAGCCTGCAGAAGTGCAGGCAGGTCATCGAGGTGAGCTGGTGTGTGCGAGAGCAATGGGATGGAGCCTCCAGGAATGAATGGAGGGTTCACCAGCAGAGGACCAGACAGGCCTCCACAGCTCCTCCATGATGACGTGCGCACGGGATGAGGAGCAGGCTGGAGGGAGAGGGTCTGCGTGGTCTATGGACTTTAGGGGTCTGTGGGATATCTGAGTAGAGATGCTCAGCCGGCAGTGGGGGAGAGGGGTCTCATATTCACGACAGGGCTGGAGGCAAACATCTGGGAGTTGCTGGGGTATGTGCATACATGGCACATAATGTCATGGGAATGGGTGAGATCTGCAGGGACGCACAGTGAGGGAGAAAAGATGAGACGAGACAAGAAGTCAGCAAAGGATGGAATTGGAGGAATGTACTAGGTGTGATGAGCAGAGGGAGAGGTCTGAAAAGTAGCTACAGAAGCAGCATGTGGGGTAGGCAGAAATCGGGGAGGTTCTAGGTTTACAGAAGCAAAGGGGAGAGAAAGAAGCCAGTCAAGGTGGGCACTAGAAGGTCAAATACATGGACGCTGGGGAGCAACCTTTGGCTTTAACCACTAGGAGGCCTCTGGTGACTCTGGTGGGAGTGGAGGTCACGGAAGCAAGACCAAGGTGGGCCGAGAAGGGCCGGGGAAGCAAGGCTGGAGGAAGGAAGGCCACCAACAGGATTCAGAAAGTCTGGAGGAAGGGAGAGTAAGAGATGAGGAGGTAGCTGGAGGAAGAGCTGCGCTAGCCAGGTTTTCGGTTTTAAAGGTGTAAGTCTTGAACGCTAAAGCTTTGGGAGAAGGAACTGAGAGAATGGTAAAAGGTGAAGGCCCTGGAAGGAAAAGTCTAAGGCACAGACCAGGCCACCGTGCAAAGCAGGGGCTTAGCCATATAGGAGGTCTGATATTGTCACACTAAGGAGGGAGGGCTGACCCGGGGAAACAAAGGCATTGGGGGCACTAATTTTAAAGAAGAGAAGAATTTTAAAAGAAATTTATTGTTCAGAATTGGCAATTCATACTTAAAATGAGGAAGGACAGGTGATAATCCCATAGTGTTCTCATTTTTCTTTTACAGACCTAATCTTAAATCATCACTAAAGTGTACCCTTTCCTCAAAACAGATCCTCATAATCTTTGACAGAAAAAAAAAAGTGCCTTAAAGAGCAAAACAAAAAATGTCAACTTTATTAACTAGATTAGAAGAAAATATATCAACATCTTGGCAATGGTTGGCAATACGGGCAATCTTTTTATCTTTAGTCTCTAACAAACATGCATTACTTTTTTTTCCTTTCCCACATTTTATTTTTTTTTAAGTTTTCATTTTAATTCCAGTGTAGTATTAGTTTCAAGAGTACAATATAGTGATTCATCACTTCCATACATCATCCAGTGCTCATCACAAGTGCCTCCTTAATCCCCATCACTTGTTTCACCCATCCCCCCACCCACCTCCCCTCTGGTAACTATCAGTTTGTTCTCTATAGTTAAAGAGTCTGTTTCTCGGTTTGTCTTTCCCTTTTTTCCCCCTTTGTTCATCTGTTTTGTTTCTTAAATTCCACATATGAGTGAGATCATATGTTATTTGTCTTTCTCTGACTTATTTTGCTTAGCATAATACTCTTTAGCTTCATCCATGTTGTTGCAAATGGCAAGACTTCATTCTCTTTTATGGCTGAATAATGTTCCATTGTATATATACCACATCTTCTTATCCATTCATCAATCGATGGACACTTGGGCTGCTTCCATATCTTGGCTATTGTAAAAAATGCTGCTATAAACATAGGGGTGCATGTTGTGCGTTACTTTTATAAGGGAAAAAAAACCCACTTGAGCAAAAAAGAATGCATGGGTTCCTCACAGCCGAGGAAGGTCACTGAGAAGACATGACCACTAGTGGACCCGTGAGCTGGACCTACGTGACTGGAGGCTGCTCATTTTCTCCCCTGTCCTTGGAATGTGGGGAGGGGCTTGCCTTTCCTGCTCCCAGAAGCTGCTACAAGGACATCGCTTTGAGATGGTGAGGTGGTGTTGAGAACACCTGCACAGTATAGTTGACTAAACCCAGTGAAGGCCTCTGTTTATAAAAGTTTATAAAAACTTTTAAGATGTGGCGGGCAGGTGCAGGGATCCACTCT